GCCGTAACATCAAGGAACTGCTCACATCCTGCCATCGGCTCCACTGTCTGATTAGAAACAAGTCGCCAGTAATCATTGTCGCCTTTCATACGATGTGCGAGGAATTTGACTACATTCGTGCCAATGATTAGATCATCCCGCTGGCCGGGTACAACGAGAATAGGCACTAGGCAGCTCTCTCCATACATTTTCAATTCAACCTCACACATACACTTTGGTCTTGTAACTTTACCCCCGCATCCTACTAGAATGACTTCCTGTTGAAGAGGTGTGGGTGGAGGCAATACATTCTCACATAAACATACCCTTTTCTGCTTTGTCACTAAAGGTGCAGGCCATGGAGCCTGTATCAAGCATTCCCTTCATTGAAAACACATTATTTACACTGACTGGCGCATAGAACAATTCATCGAATGCCTCAACTGCCTGGACATTTTGTGCTATCACTTTGGTTCCAGTGGGAGCCTGTGCACATGCATTTTCATAAAACTAATGAAGATCAACAGTCTCTAGGGGTTCTTCACTTGTGCCCACGCATCCCCCTTCCAAACGTGAGCCATCTAGTTTAGACCTAGTTTAAACCTTCAAACCGTCCAAACGTGAGCCATCTAGTTTAAGGGACATTCTACCAGAAATGTACATTATCTGTCCTTGACTTGTTACAGTGAATAAAAATTATTACATCCAAAAAATGTCTAAAACTGACTGATGGTTGATTTCAGTGAGTTGTTCTGTAAAGGAATATGTCATTCATTAGGTTCTCATTTTTTTTAGGAGGACGAGCAAAAGGGTCAGGCCCTGTCACGGTAAAACATCTCAGAAAATAATGATTTTTAAAAAAATCCAAAACATGTCTAAAAAAGTTACTGAATTCCTTGATTGCATGTTAACAGTTTTTATGCTAGCATGCTAGCTGAGTGAGTAATGGCAGTTTAAAATGGCCTGACAGTCCTGTGACATGGCCTTACAAATGAATGGCATTGTTGTTTTTTATTACCTTTATTGCATATAATATGTATTTAATGCATGCCATAGTAAAACATTATTTGAATAAATAGACATTTTACTGTAAATCTGAAGCTTTATATGCTCATCGACAAATATTTTTAATTGTATTCCTCTTTGACCTAGGCCTATGTAGCACTGCACTTTGCGTTATTTTGATTAGGTTAAAAAATAACTAATAATTACAGCTAACTAATGCAATAAAACACAATAAAAACATGATTACATAATAAAAAACATGATTTTTGAAAATTAAAAAAAACTGAGTTATCGGTTTTTGCAAATAAACTCTTCATATATTTATTTATTACAGGGACAATGCATATTAATAAACATTTCTGTCAATATGCCAGAATTAGCCAGAAGGCTATTTTTCACCTGCCACCATATAGATGTAATTGTCATCTATATAAGCTTCGAGTAATGATGACTGTAATTATCCCAATTCATACAGATACCATGGTAATATCTACATTATTACCTAGGAAATGACATGCAATTTCCGTTATTACCATGTAATTTCCCAAAATAATAATGCAGATATTACCATAGTATTGCCCTGTTATTACTGAGCTGTAATATTATGTGGTACCACAGTTACTTTACTTTGTGCTATTCAGTTAAATGTCTATACATTTGCTGTGTCATAGTAAAATATACTTTATATATTATGAAGTTATAGTTATATTATGTTATATGAAGTTATAAATATGTTTTTATATTGAAATAAAATGAAATTAGTTTATTAATTTGTCAGTCATATTCTAATGAATTAGGCCCTTATTATATGTCCTTGGCTGAACTTTACCATAGTCTAATATTACATTAACATTAAAATTATAATAATAATTTAAAATAGGAATGCTTATCAAAACTTAAATAAAGAACACAAAACATAACCTTTTCTGCATCAACGAAATCCATAAAGTCAGTCCTGTCACAGCACCATCAGTCCTGTCACACAGGAAATTATGTTATAAAAATGTAATATTTGAGGAAATATTGATGAATTAATCTCTGTAACTGTGTAGATGAAGGTTGGAGTATATATCCACTACTATGTTTTTGAAAAAATCTCCTATGTAAAGGCAGTTTTTTTACAACTATATGAGTGCCTGGCGGGGTATTCTGTGATTTTGTGTACTACAGTTGACCGAAAAGTTGCTTATATTTCTTATAGAAATTACAAAACCATGTTAGATACAATCAGGGACATGTGACCAATAAGAAAATGCTATTTGTATCAAAGAAATTCATTAGGAAACCATTCTAACATATACAAATTTGTCTGTGACAGGGCCTGACATTTTAGGGGTGAAATGCATATAAAAATGTATTTATTTCAATCATAAAAACATGCTGAGATGGCATGATATGTGTTTCATATAGATTAACATGTCCTCCATATGACTCAACGTTCCGATTTAAGAATAAGATATTTTTTTCACCCAAGATTTTGACAAGTGGAAATGTACGTTTCTGGTAGAATGTCCCTTAAATGTCACTGATCATGTTCAGACATCCCACGAGGTTGATGAAGTGGATGTTGGCTCTCCAATAGAGCCAGGTGAGTGTAGTCGATTCAGCACTACACACGCTATACAGAGTGATGACAATTGTATGAGAACTCTGATTAATCTTCTTGATCGTACGTACACTGTCTCAAAATGTCCAAATGCCATCTCACCAGCCCCAAGGCAAACTCTGTAGAGTATGCAGATCTCCAGATCACTCCACTGTAACGCATTGTCGACGTTACTTGGAAGACGAATGAGCTTTGGAGCTGCCAATGGAACAGTGTCATAGAAGTCAGCCAAGGGCATACATGAATAATTGACATCACTAAAAATGTTGTTTCAGAATGTCCATGATAACCTTTGGGTTCTCAACTGGGTTTAAAGCTGAATTACATCAAAGAGTAACTCTGACGACATCTTTGGCTTTACCCATCAATCTGCTTAAAATCTCTTGATGTTGCTCTGCTAATGGTATTCCTCTCTTTCGCAGATATGTGTCCATCAGTTCCTCCCATTCATGCACTCCGAGCTTGTCCGACGAATCACCACGGTAGACTGGGGGCTCTTTTGCGTCTGACTGCATGATCAACCTCACTCCAGTCAAGTTAATTGAAGGTATGTCTGAAAATGTCTTAGTGGTATCTAACCCCTGTGTTTGTGTACCTCTATTCTCTCCTTCCCCATAAACAGCCTCCCTTTGAGATGCTAACATTGTCTGACCAAATTTTTGAGCAATATGTGTTATCAACCCTGGCCAGTTTGGAACATTTATGCCTGGAACAGCTAAGGGCAAAGTGTCAGCTGTTGGATTGGGAACATTATCAATTACACATGTGGAGCACAACACATGAGGCATTCTGCTCACTCTACTCTCCCTTTCAATTGGAGCAACTGGAGTTTCACCAAAAATGTTCCCCCTACCAAGACCCAAGACCCAACCGACATTGTTTCATCAAATTAATCTCCGTTTAAACTAAATGCCATGTTCAGTTTCATACACAAAATAAATCCAACAGAAGATAAATGTCCAAATAGAATAAACTATATCAGAAAGTATCAGTCCGAGAATAATAATCACTTAATGAGGAAATGCACCAATCAATATGAAAAATCCCACATGTTTTTTGTACTCTCACAGTTCTTCACTCACAAAACTGTGAACCTCAAAACAGCGTCCCTCTGTGACCCGACTGACGTAGATCCTGAAGCAAATCTTCATCCGGGTCACGGCACCAATGAAACCGGTCCCTTGCTGACCGCTGCTACCATCGTCTGCGTTGTGTGTAAGAAGGCCCAGGACACTTTCACTTCTGTTCACCAAAAGGGGATTTATTGACAGCCACACCCAGCATTAACTTCACTCCGTCTGTGGATTAACATGCATAAAGCTCATATCTCTCTCTCTCATGGGCATTCCATTAAGACATTCCTCTCCCCAGCATATACAATGCGAACTGACGAAGAAGCGCGCACTCACTTGAAAATGGCATCAGTAGAGCGCCAAGAGAAATTTTCAAAATAAAAGTCTCTAAACAGTGAACAGCAGAATCAACAAATATTACTCAAAGAAAAACAGAAATAAATCAATAATACAATAACAAATAAACCCGTAATACAATAAAAAGGATTTTAGTGAAAAAACAATGTGTTACATTCAAATTGTATTCACTATAACTCATTACACAGTTATTAAAGGGGTCATATGATGTTGCTAAAAAGAACATTATTTTGTGTATTTGGTGTAATGCAATGTGTTTATGCGGTTTAAGGTTAAAAAAACACATTATTTTCCACATAATGTACATTATTGTTTCTCCTCTATCAGGATCAGGAAACATTCCTCCATAAAATATGCTGCACACATCTGAATATTTGGGTTGAACTGTTCTGGAACAGTGTTGTAAATACAACTTAACCACTGATTTCTAGTCGTGTCCTCTTTTGGAAGGCCAAACAAAGTAGTTTCACTTTCACAATGAAACACACAGCGGCTAGAGTGAGAGGCGCCCGGCGGGCTTGAGTGAGGAATGGCCGGCAGGCTAGAGTGAGCGGAGGCCGGCGGGCTGAGTGAGCGGCGGCTGGCGGCCTTGAGAACGGCGCGGCCGGCGGGCTTGCGGCAACCACATG